CCCAGTGCGGCGGCTCCGGTTCCCTGCACCCCCCCCCAAAGCAACCCCTTGCAGCAGGAGCTGGGCAAAGAGCCCCAGCACCCAGGGGTGACGCTGGCCTCTCACCCCCGGAAGGACACAGCCACCAGCTCTTCCATGCCATGCTGGGCACTCACTTCCAGCTGGAGGCCATCCTCTGTGACGTGGGCTCACGCTGGGCTTGGCTGCGGGGTCGCCTGCCCACCACCGGGCTCCTTGGCACCTTTGGCACTGCCGGACTGGCCCTTCTGGGCAATGCCCCATCATCGGTGCCTTCACTGCTGCCTTGCCCCGGGCACCCGGCAGCTCTGTCAGCCCCCCAAGTGTCCCCACCCAGTCTGGGCACTGGAGGGACCTGTGACACTGCAGGATTGCAGGGTCTGTGGGACCCCAGGTGTCCTGCCACCCCCAGCGCTCCCCTCTCCAAGTGTGGGGAGACGAGGATGAGGGGCTCAGACACCTGGGTCCTGCTCTTGGGCGTCTTGGGGTGTCATGAGATGTGTCCCCCTGCCCTGGTCCCTCTGCAGCCAGCCAAGCTCCGCCCCCCCCTGCAATGCCTCAGTTTCCCCACCTTTTAAATCTGGCTAATCGTACTCATCACTGCAGGAAGGGCCCTGTAGTGCACTTACGTTGCACCTAACCCATGCAGCAGCCCTGCGCAGAGGCACCCAGCTTCAGCCCCAGGGCATGGGACCCCCAAATCCATGGCCCACCACACCGGCCCCTTTCCCAGCAAGTTCAGCGTGGTGACCTTGGGGACGCGTCTGTGTCTGTGTGTGTAGCCAGGACTGTGACAGCCCTACAGGGGTTGCACGGTGCACAGCCCTGCTGCAGCATGGTGCACAGTCTCGCTGCACGCTGAGCGTGAGTCACTGGGTGCAGCCGAGGGCTGGAGGGCTGGGGCTGGAGGCAGAACGGAGGGATCTGGGCGCGAGGGGAGGGTGCAGGGGGCTGGCAAAGGCCGTGCTTGGTGGGAGCAGGGGTCAGCGCCTGGCATGGAGTTGGCCCCAGAGCCCTGGCTGAGCCAGGCTGCACAGACCAGGGGTCCTGTGCCGTGGGACCCCAGGAGCTGTGGCCAGGGCTGCACGGGAGATGA